CCGCCGTCTCTCCTCGACGCGAGTGCCTCGGGGATTCGCCCTCGCCCCTCCAGCGCGGGACTCTCGAGGATTCGTGCTCGCCTCTCCAGCACGGGGCCCTCGAGGAGTCGCCCTCGCCTCTCCAGCGCGGGGCCCTCGAGGATTCGCCCTCGCCTCTCCAGCGCGGGACCCTCGAGGATTCGTCGTCGCCTCTCCAGCGCGAGGGCCTCGAGGCGTCCGGGGATTTGCCCTCGCCTCTGCAGCGCGGGAGCCTCGAGGATTTGCCCTCGACTCTCCTGCGCGAGAGCCCTTCGTCCGCGCCCCAAGATTGGCGCCTTGGCATCTGGCCATCGCGGCCGACGCACGGGCGGGCTCGCTCTGAACCGAAAAAGCTCTGGTCGGAGTTCGTTGTCCGTCTCCGTCGCGCGGGCGGCGGCGCTGGGGCCATCGGCCCCGCGGAGCTCCGCCTCAGAACGCGCGAGGGGCGTGCCGAATTAATTGGGCGTGCGCGGCGTTTGCTGGCGGTGGCAAGACTCAAGAAACTTGGTCCGTTCGTTTTACGCCTCTCAGTCGTGCTCAGGTCCCCCCTCATGGATTCTTAGAGTTTAGAGATTCACCAAAAGTTTGGCCTGGGTCCGGGGCGAAGAGGAATCCGCGAGATTCCCCAACCGGCAAGGCCGGCCGGGCCGGTCGAATATTTTTCACGCGCTGCAGATTGAAGGCAAGGAAAAACTTAAAGCATCGCTAAGCAGACAATCAAACTCCAAGGGGGTCCTACTAAGGATTCAAATGGGCCCATCGGGATTCCACACTCCGACTCGGTTCTGCAGAAAAATCACATCTGTTTAAGCTTTGTCGACAAGCGGCAATTATGAACACTCCACTATGCGTTGCACTGACTCCGCCAGCCCGGCTCGCCTGGGCGCCTGAATCAAGAGCGGAACGCGCGCACCGAGCCCGCGAGCATTCGACAATTAGGATACAATGCAAAATATCTACACACCACTAAATGAAAAGGAATCGAAGTGAGGCGACTGAACATTCGTCGCAACCTGGAGCCCTCTCCTGCCACCTCCGATTAGGCCTACTCCTGACTCTTGGCCTCCCCTCCTCCACTTTGTTCTCTCCGGCTCCTACAAGACATGTCTCTTCTACCTTTTTCTGTCCAATTCGATGCTGCGGCGCCGAGCTTCCAAAGTAAGTCGCTTAGTATATCTTAGCTCCAGCGCATGCAGCGCCTGAGCTCCTATGACTTTAGCCCAAGACCACTCAGAACTCAGTCTTCGCCTGGGAAGGCGAGGGGGCGGAAGGGGCCCAAAGGAGCCGCGGGCCCCTCCTCAAGATAGTGGCGCGCGCGTAGGGCTAGCCTAAGCGTCGAGTCAGCCTTCGAGGGGCGCCGTCGTCGCGCGATTGGCGACGACGCGCGATGCCTGTTCTTAGCCTGGGGCTAAATTCGCAAGAAAGTGGAAGCTCGGCGCGCGCTGAGCTGCCGCGTCGAATTGCGAAGAAAAGCGCTGGAGAGGCATGTCATTAAACTGGTAAGAAGGGGGCGGAGGCTAAAGCTTCAGGTGGTGACGCTTACGTTCAGTCGTCTCACTTCGGGACCCTTGCATGTAGTATCCTAGGTGCCGAATGCTCGTGGGCTAGGTGCCGAATAGCACGGTTAGACATCGGGGTGGCCCTTCGCGACGACCGCCCCCAGGGCAGTCGCGACCGATGCGGCCGCCGACGATGGGGCGTCCCGGGCGACGCCCCCGCTGCGGCCAGGTTTGACGGCCGCGCGCGCCCCGCGCTTCGCGCTCGCATCGCCCTCATGGTCGCCGGCTCGCTGGAAGACCAGACTCGCCCAGGACCATGCGCTCTTCGTCGCCGGGCCCGTCAGAGCATGCGACGATGCCTGGGGGAAGGCGACGCGCAAGAGATGCCCTGGAGCAAAACGAAGTCACGCGCGTGCTGCCGCTCGGCCGGGGGGGCTCGAGGAAGGCGCACGCGGCGCAGAAAATCGCATTCCCAGTGACATAACGGCGGCATACTTGCGGCCCTCGTTGGCGCTGGACAAAGGCGCCATGATGGTCGCAGACTCCTGGGGCGCGCAGGCAAATCATATTTCCGCGGAGACGGCGAGGTCCAGAGTGCCACGCAACGCCTGCGCTCTGCGGTTCCAGAAATGCATCAACGCGAAGATGCGGCCGGGGGCGCGCAGAAGAGGTTGAAGTGCCATCGAAGAGGTGGGCATGGTGGCGGCCGCGCACCGCAACGCGCGGGAGCACGCCTACAAGCGGCCGCACCGCCACTTCGGTTGCGCCCCCATCGCGGCATTGCACCTCGGCGGTTTCCTGCAGCTGAAACCCGCCAGCAGCGTCGGCCTCCTGACGGGCGCGAACGAGCTCCTGGACGACGGGGTGCACAAGTGCGGGAAACCGCCGAAGACGAAGATTCAGCGCGGCATCGAAGTCTTCTTTCGGGTCCCATCTGCCTTCGAGCAGCAAACAGGCACGAAACGCTTCGAACCCAGGGGCCCTGTGATCGCGCTTTTGGCCGCGCGAACAAGGGCAAGGCCTTCCCGCGAGAGGTGTCTGCCTGGGAGAAGACGCTGGCCTTTGAAAACCGGGGTGTCCCGGGCCCTGGGCGCCAGCAAGAACACATTCGGTTCCGCTGAGGGACGCTGGCGGGGTGTATCAACACGCGCGCTCGTCGCGACGCTCTGCGTCTCGGTGCGCTCCTCGTTTCCCAACAGGCCGTGGGCGCGGGCTGGCGCATCCTGAGTGTCCCGAACATGCGCAAGACGGAGACGTCCACGGCGTCTAACCAGGACGCGTCGGCACGGAGATTCGGCCCACGGCAGGGCAGGAGGAACTGCAAGAAATGTCGGGGCTCGCGCAGGAGCAACAGGCCACCGTCGCGCCCTTCGAAATCGCCCAAACGACGAGCAGCAACGCACGGAACACGCGCCAGGCTAGCCTGTTTGCCCCCACTACCTGCCCAAAGAGAGTCTGGATGCAGGTGCGCGACTCCGAACAGTTCTTGATCGACCGCGAAGTCGCCGAACTGCTGCTACAGGGCGCCGAAAGCGTCCGCGACGACGGCGAGGCAGAGGCGCGAGCGAGGAACCTGCCAATGTTCAGGCCCAGCGAGCAAGAATTCACCTGGCAGAGCTCGGGGCCGCACGAGTTGCGCCGTTCGGGGTCCCCCCTGGCGCGCGCATCCTACCTGATTTCCACGCTGTCGCAGGGTCAAACGCTGCGCAAATCGACTGCGCAAGGGATGAAGACGCTGGTGATCGCCAGGGCTGAGTCGGAGCAGCTCGCGGCAGAGCTGGGTTTCGCGTGTGTTCCTGCCTGAGCGCGACCGCGATTAAGCCGAGACATGCGGGGTTGTCCCAACGTCTGGCTCCCGCGCCTCAATGGTTCGCGGGGTTGTCCCATCGGCCTGGCCCGCGGGGTTGTTAGCTCGGCTTCGCGATCCGGTCATCGGAGAACGCGCCCCTCCAGGACGTGGCGGCGAGGGTGCCGAGGAAAGTAGAAATGCGTGCCGTGGCTAGAAGGACGGAGAGGCGCACGAGGATAACACGCGGGATGGAGATGATGAGACGGAGAAAGAGAAATAGGTGGAGAAGAAGGATGAGGACACGGACGAGGAGGAAAAGGAGAAGACATGGAATGTGGAGGACAAGGAGGAGGAGGGGACGGAGGAGGAGGGGGAGGAGGAGGCGCAACAAAGGGCTGGAGGAAGGCCTCCGCCAGGGCGAAGAGAAAAAGGCGAGGTGCAAACTAAGCAGACTCTCGTGCGGCATCCTACCGTCGGAATAAGCCCACCAGCCCTCTGGGCGTGAGTGGTTCCGAGAGCCCCCTTTGTCCACCCCCGCGCTTCCCCTTCGGAGAGGGGCTTACCCCTCCCCCTCCCCCCTCCCGCTGGGCCTGGAGGGCGGGGGGGGGCGCGGGTGGTTGGAGCATCTGTTTTGGCCTAACATGGTGCCAACACGACCCAAGAGAGCTCAAGATGACCTCCAAGATCGCTCAAGATAGCCCTCGATGACGAAAGATAACTCCTAACAAGCCTACACGTGGCTCCAAGACCGCCCCGAGACGGCCCCAACTGTCCACGGAGCCTCCCAAGGACGCCCCAGAGAGGCCAGAATCCTTCAAAACCTAAGGTCCATCAATGTTGTTTGCCTTCCCGCCTTTTCGCTTTCAATGGGCTCTTGAGGCTTCAAGATGACCCCAAGATGGCCCAAGAGAGCCCCAAAACAGGCCACATAGAGGCCCCAGACGGGCCCAAGAGCGCCCAAGGGCGCCCCAAAAGCGGCCCAAGAGAGCCCCCAAAGGCAACTGTTCGGGTTCCGAAGGGGTGGCCGTAATTGACGCCGCGCTCCTTTTTGAGCCGTGGCCTCCAGGATGGTCCCAAGAGACCTCCCAGACCCGCCCAAAGAGCCCCAAGAGGGCCCCAAGACCCCCCCGAAGAGCCCCAAGGGTGCCCCAAGAGGTACCACGAGGACCCCCAAAGGGCGCAGGGAACAGGTGGGATGTAGGAGGAACAGGAGGGCATATGCGAGGGCACGAGAAGGTACGCCCGAAAACAACGACTGTCAACATGCTTCGCAAAAATTGCAACTCTGGGATGGGCTGGTGGGGATATGTGAAGAATCGTTGTTCGATCACATAGGATGCGGTCTCAGAACGCCCTCCTTTAAAAATCCAAATCTGGGCCCGCGAGTCGCTGCTACCGCTTCGCGTTCAGCGATCGTGGGAGCCCGCCCAGTGGGCCCGCACCAAAGGTCACTCAAACAGAAGGTCACTCTCATACGGCGAACAACAAGTACCCATACCGCTACTCCCCGGACCTCTCCCGGGGTGCGTTCTGACCAGGATTTCGAGGCGAATCCAGCGGTGGCGACGAGGACCCCCCAAGAGGCCCCAAAAGGAAGAACACGGGCGACGGGGATCGGTACCTTTTTCTCCTCTGATCCGACGTCCAATCGAGCGTCCTCCTCCGGAGGGCAACCAGGGAGCGAGCGGGGCTGCCTCCTGGGCCCCGAGGCGGTGGTCGTTGCCTCCAGAACGGCGGGGTGCCGGGCGCGTGCGGAAAGCGGGCAGCTGCTGGGTGGGTTCGGCTCGGCGAGCAGGCAGGCCATGGGGGCCGAGGGGTGACCTTCTGAGAGGTCAGTGGGCTTCTGGTGATGAAGATGAAGGGGATGATGGTGATGGTGATGGTGGTGGTGGTGATGATGATGTTGACGATGATGCTGATGCTGACGAGTATTCTGATGAAAATGATCACCATTACCATCTACCGAACACGCGCGAGCATGGATTACGGCTGGTGCGTGAAGTGGGTCGGTGCACGGAAAACATTGGCGGCGCGTACAAGGAGGGTGGCGCTAACAAAACTCCTGGAATATCAGGTCGATGCGCCCTTGCGAGGATATCAACGACACAGACATCATGTGTTCGTGCCTTGGGACAAGATGTCCCCCGCTGCCTCCTGCTGCTGCCGATCGATAAAACCGTCGCGTCCGTTTTCCTGTCGTGGAAATATGTCGCGGTGTTCCGCGGGCCAGTGATAACCACGAACTGAACGAACCCTACAATCCCAAGTCGGAGCTGTCGATTGAAAGACAAGCTGCGAGGAAGCTGACACTCAGAACAACCAAACGCAGCGTGGTATACTTTGGAACAAGCTGCCACGGTTTGCAACATTGCATTGCTTTGCACGCAGTGGGGTTCGTTGCAGCAGTGCAGTGCAAGTTTCTGCGTTCCATGCTTTGTTCTGCTTTGCTTCGAGCTGCTCTTGCATCGCATTGCCCTGCGGTGCGCAGCCTCCATTGTTGGCTGGTTTGCTTACACTGTTATTGGCTCGCTTTGCGTCGCCGGTGTACCACTTTAGTGCCCGTGTCTGTCGATGCTGTGGATCGCATAACCCTTACCTTTGCACTCCGCTGCGCTGTCCTGAGGATGAGCATTCCCCGAGTAGCCAGACGTGCCCCCAACAATAACCTGGCATATGTGCTGTGTGATGCGTTCAGCAAAATTCTCGCTTTACGATTGGCACTGCCCCACTTGCGCAAACCAGGTAACGACCTCCGAACATCGAACATGATTCTGGGGGGAAAACTGAAGCGGTAGCCGTGACGAACGGGAGAGCGAAAACGAGGGCAGGAGTGCACGCGTACGGCACAGCGAAACATGTACCCCGCTCGCCGAAATGCAACCCTCACGCGAAACGTAATGATCAAGCGGAACATGAAGCTCATACAGCATAGACTCACGATGCGGCAGCTGGAGGTAAACGAGAACCCCCAGTAAACGCCCACATCATAAACGTGCAGCCCATGCTACACCTACGTAGCCAAAATCAAACAATAGGGCAAGGCCATCTAAAACTAAGACCGAAGCGTCAACGTAAACAAATTATTAAGATGCAGCTATAGCTGAAGCTCATGCCCAAGGCATGGCTTACTCGATATGAGAAGACACAAATGCATTTCGCAATCAAAGAACAGACAACTTTCCGTTAAACCGCGACTTCATTTGCAACGATATCTCAACTCGAAACAAGCTAAATCAAGGTCGAGGGCAGCACTGACGTCGACGTCGATGCGAATGAGACTGCTTTCAGTAGAAACCGAAGACAATGCTGAAGCGAACCGAGACATGCATATCGTGAGCCGTGCCCGGTACTCCTCCCACTCCCTGCCTGCTCAGCGGCAGCAGCGTGGTCGTACGAACGGTTTTCTGCAGTGAAGGTTCATGTCCTACACCCCTGTGCAAAAACCAAGTGGTGTTTTTCTACACACCTCCCCCCCCACCCCTCAATTGCAATGTTCAAAGCGGTGCCGATTTTCTTATTCGAACTTCGCCGGTCGCGCGATCAACATGGAAATGGGGGGCCGGGGGGCTCACCAAACACCACTTGCTTTTCGCACGGGCTTGTAGGGTCAGGGGCATCAACAACTTTCCATTCATGAACTTTCGAAAGTCCGAGCGGGCTTCGGCCCTCTTGACGGCAATTCCAGCTATGCCACTGGCGCCCTGGCGCCCCCCACGCGCCAAGGAAGACGCCGATCCAAGAAATCCGCGAAAACCTCCGACAATTCATAGTGGCGCCGATTTGTCTTGCTCGAAAGGTGCCAGTTGCCGTGGTACCGTCATGGGCAGGCATTTGAGGCTCCCACACAGTGACAACCCAAACAGGATCGGGGATCGCCCTCATCGAGCGAGGTTGACCCACACTGTTGGCTCTGATGGTGTTATCTAGCCTCGTGGATGTTGCCACCACAACCGGGATCAAGGGCATCTCCCTGCGGTGGAGACGGCCCCGATGCTCTTCTCACTGCCGAGAAAAATGTTGCACAATAGGTGATCAATGCGCCAGGAAACAACGAACGTACGCACGAACTGGGTCGATGCGCCACCGTGGCCCCTGGCACGTTGAGGCGCGGCAGAACGCCAAGTGCTGCCATGTAGTTTTGTTTATGTAATCTCCCAAGGCCCCCCTCCATCTACTAGCGGACTCTCGCATGCATCCCCCCTCCCCCTCTCCCGAGGCTCCCTGGGCGCCCCGACGCCTCCCTGGCGCCCTCTAAGGCTTCCAAGACTTCTAAGATGGTACCTAAGACGGCTCAGACAGACCTCCAAGGTCACCCAGACGGCCCCAGATGCCCCCGAGCAGGCCCGATATAGCTCCAAGACTGCCCAATATTTCCACAGGACTGCCCAAGAGGCCCTCACGACGGCCCAAGAGCGCTCGACAAGAACCTCCAGCAAGGCTCGAAGAAACCCAACTCATTGATTTTCATCTGGGTTTTGATGGACTGTCGCATTCTCACCTTCTCTGGCTTCCGTGAGCTCGGGACGGCTCAAGACGCTCCAAGATGGCCACACAAAGGCCCACGAAGGCCTCAAGATAACTCGAGAGGCCTCCAAGACGGCCTCAAAAAAGGCCCAAGAGGGTCCCTGGACAGCCCAGGAGGGACCAAAGAAGGCCTCAAGCTTGCCTCAAGGGGCCTCGGGAGGGACCAAAGAAGGCCTAAGAGGACCCTTGGACGGCCCAAAACGGCCCGAAGAGACCCCTGGACGGCCACGAAGGCCCTAAGAGAGCCCCAATACGACCCAAGAGGGCCCCAATGCTGCCCGAGAGTGTCCAAAGGGACCCCCAAGGCTGCCTCACAGGAGCCCAGGACAGCCCGAAGACTGCCCTGATGTGAAGACGAAGGGCGTTACAAGTGTATAACGCTCTTCATGACTGGGCCTTTCACCTGCAGCGCCATTGTTGGAAACTGCTTCGAGCACTCAGGCCAACTTGCCCTCTCGAGTGCAAAGGCCATGAGTACGCAATGTTTCCAGCCACCCAGGGGTAGGTCCCCATGGCAAACATATGTCTCTCGTGCTCGTCTATCGGTCAGCCATGCATACTTGGCAAATCTGTGCCTGCTCAATTACTGGTGCTGGGACATGCCTAAACACGGTGATTGTCTTGAAATCCACGCGCGCAAGAACCACGAACCAAGGGATCCCGCCTTCTTGCAGCACATGCGAGCGGGACAGCGTCAATCACGCAACGGCGCCAGAATCAAAAATATGCCCCAAACAAGCGTGCCCGTCCCAACTCTACTTTCCCCCCACACTTACTGTCTTCCCTCACTCCTTGCTTTTTTCCGACCTCCCTCATGTCTGCCCTCCCCAAGTCCATCTCCTGCCCCACCTCCTCTCCCCTACTCTGCCCACTCGTGCCCTTGCCCTCTCCACCACTGCGTTCCCGTGCTACCCTCTCCAACATCCCCTTGCCACTACGCGACGTAGCATGCCCAGAGTAGGTATAGTATTGACGTAGTGCTAGGCTCATCCAAACCTGGTGCTCCAGACGGGCCCGTAGGCGTTAGAACGGACTGACAGCCCCAGGCCAGCTCGAAAGCAGGGACCACCTGAGTCCATGTGCCTGCTGAAACCAACATCCAAGTGCTTCAGATAAGGATCCCAATAATGTGAGACTGTCAATGTGAAATGCATCGCATATGTGTCCGTATGCCAGCGTGGAAGGGATCGAGGCCCGACGAGGCGGTGTGAAGTTATAAACGACCACACAGGCACAAGTAGGGCAACGTGAACCAGGCACGACCCCTATAAGGGGAACACTTCCCAAGCAGCTCAGAACTCATTAGAATTTCTTTGCATTGCTTGGCGTTGCACTGCGCTGCTTGGCGTTGACGGGCATGAATTGCTTAGTATTGCTTAGCATTGCTTGGCGCTGCTTGGCATTTATGGCATTGCTTGGCATTGCCCCCAGGACGGAGTGCAATGAAAAAGGCCATGGCACCGAGAAAGGCCGAAGGCCGCCTCACTAAATCGACCTAGCGAACACCGGGTCTTCACAAAGCAAGGTATCCCCGCGAGAGGCCCAACCATATGTAGCTGCGAGTACCGCAAGGCAAACGATATGAACGATGGGAACGAATCGTGTAGAGGGTGCGCCAAAATGGCGAGGTGGTGGCGTGCGAACTTGGTCGCTTGGGCCTTCGGTGGAGCCCCCTATGGGGCCACGAAGAGCGCGAGTGGTGCGCCGGAGCGAGATGGGACCACCATGCGGATTTTGCTCTTGAGGCCTTCGGTGGAAGCTACGGATCGCGCCATGGGTGCGCCGAAATGGTGCGGTGCTACGATCCGGACTTTGCTCTTGGGGCCTTCGGTGGGGCTCCCTATGAGGCCACGGAACGTGAGAAGGCGTGCCGAATTAGGGCGGTGCCGCCACGTGGACTTTGCCACTGGGGCCTTCGGCGGAGCTCCCTGAGGGGCCACGAAACATGTGAGGGGTGCGCCGCAATGGGGCGGTTCCGCCATACTGACTTTGCCGCTGAGGCTTCCGGTGAGACTCCCGATGGCGCCGCGAAGCGCGTGAAAGGTGGACCGAAACCGCGCGGTGCTGCCATGCGGACTGTGCCACCGGGGCCTTTGGTGAAGTTCCCTATGGGGCTGCGAAGCGTGTGCGGGGTGCGCCGACTTTGGGCGGTGCCACCATGCGGACTTTGCCGCTGGGGCCTTCGGTGGAGCTGCCTATGGAACTGCGGAGCGTACGAGGGGTGTGCCGAGATGTGCATGCGGAGGGCAGAGGCCGAGGCGGGATGGAGGAGGAGACGTGGGGCGCTCTCTTCAAAACGAAGACCCAACTCAACACAATATGGGTGGGAATCCCACCAGCCCTCTTGGCACAGGTGGTCTAGAGCGTGTCCTCTTCTACCTTTCCTCTTCCCCTTCGGGGAAGGGTCGTATGAACACTCCCTCCCCCAGGCGACCGGCAACCAACCCGAACCCATGCTGACCCCCCCCACCAGCCGTGTCGAAAAATGAATGCAACATACAGTGGGCATCCAAATCCGCGCATGCGCCCAGCGACCACGTTACATTTGGTGTTGGCAGGGGCGGCGGGGGGGCTAGTTGCTTGTTGCGCGTGTACCAACGATCCCATTCAACAAAAAAAAAAAACACACAACGTACACATTGTCTCCAATTCTGAAGCTTGCGCGGAAGCCCCGCGACCACTTAGCATTGTTTTTTGACAGGGGCAACGGAATGCCCTCATTCGAATAAGAACTCTACAACATCATTGAAATACATCTGGACTGGTTTGTCCGTCGGAAATATGAACAAGCGTATAAGATTCGTAGATCTACGCGCGTTATTTACTCGTTATCGCAATCCAGGGACAAATCAATTCTGAGCTTGATCTCAGACTCGACTCATATTGCTTGCTGCATGCAAGCCTCCCATCGCTGCCAACAACAAATGCAACATGCAGCTCGACTCCAAATCCAGAGCATGCGCGGGCGCCCCGCGAGCATTTCGCATTGGTTTTGACAGGAGTGGCTGGGGGCCCTCATAGTGCTTGCTGCGCGCAGGCCATCCACCTGTGACAAGAATTAACGCAATATCCACATTGTTCCAATCTCTGGACCATGCGCTGGCGCCCCGCGACCACTTTGCATTGGTTTTTGATCGGGGCACTCGGGTGCTACGTATATCTTGGGACGGCGGGTGGGAGTGAGCGAGACGGATTGTGCCTTGTGATACGGAGGTGTCTTGATCACTGTGCCCTGCTAATGTACACCCCCTCCCTCAGGCGACCAGCAACCAACCAGGAACAATGCCGACAACCATGATGCTCCCCCCGCCATCCCTATAAGAAAACAATACAAACACATACTCTGCCTCCAAAGTAGGAGCATGCGCAGCCAACCCGATGCGCCTCCCCACCATCCCGGTCAAAAAACAATACAGAATACACCCTGGAGCAAAGTCTTGACTCATGTGGCGTGGGGCCCGCGAACACTTGTATTGTTTTCTTGTCACCGACCGCGGGGGTTTCAGCACATTGCCTGCTGTGTGCGAAACCACCACCCCTGTCAAACAAAATACCAAATCCGCCGACCCTGTCGGCGTGTGGAAGAGGCTTCTCCGTCTACCTCCTCTTCTTCGTCGTCCTGGTCCTTTCCCTTTTCCCACAGCGTCTTCTCCTTTTCCGGGGCCTCCTCCTCAAGCGTTTCGGTCCAAACCCAAATTGAGCAACGTTGCCATTGAGTCGAAGGGAAGCCCTTTCCTTTTGATCCCTTCCCCGGCGCGGGGGGGGGGTCCCGGGGGAGGACCCGGGGGAGGATCCGGGGGGAGGACCCGGGGGAGCACCCGGAGGTCCCAGGTCAGATACGCAGCCCCTCCCCCCCATGAAGATGACCTCCAAGATTACTCATGTAGCCCTCGATGGCTCCAGATCGCTCCCAAGAAGCCTACTCGAGGCTCGAAGATCGCGCCAACACGTCTCCGAGTAGCCACGGAGGCTTTCAAGAACGCTTCCGAGATGGCTCCAGGTAGCCCCGGAGCCTCCCAAGGACGTTCCCGAGAGGCCAAAATCGTGGATTTCCCGTCGGAAAAAACGTACACTTTTGGCATATACGACTTTTCGGCCTTCACGGCGTTGAAGACAATCCAAGAAGCTCCCAAGAAAGCCCCAACACGGCTCAAGAGGCTCCCAAGAGGCGCCCAAAACGGCCCAAGAACGCACCAAGACGGCCCAAGAGGCTACCAAGACGGCCCAAGAGGGCCCCAAGAGGGGCCCCAGACGGGGAGCCCGAACCAAAAATCCGAGCCTTCTGCCCCAAGAAGCTCCCTGTAGGCCCCAAGAGGCCCCCAAGAGGCCCCAGGAGACCCCGAAGAGGCCCTCAAGAGGCCCCAAGAAGCCCCCAAGAGGCCCAACAGATGCCCCAAGAAACACCAAAACGGCCCCCTCCTCCACCTCCCCCTCCTCCTCCCCTCCCGTGCTCCTCGTCTGCCTCCTCCTCCGCTTAGGAACAAATCGGCGCTGAGCCTGAGTTCCGCAATCATGCCTGGTGATGCATCCAGGAATCCGCCGACCCTATCGGCATGTGGGAGAGGCTTTTCCGTCTTCCCCACAGCGTCGTCGCCTCTTCTGCTTTCCGAGGGCTCCCTACACAAGTCCGCACAAAAATTAAACAACGTCGTCCTTCATTCAGTCGAAGGGAAGCCCCTTCCCTTGATCCCTTCCCCGCCGGGGGGGGGGGGGCAGGGGCCCGGGGCAACTCCCTGGGGGGTGAGGGGGGGGGGGGAAGGGGCAACTCCCCGGGGGGGGGTCCCCCCTCGGATACGCAGCCCCCCGCCTCTCATGGGGTTTCGTTGGCCCTCCTGGGCCGTTTGCGGGCCCTTTTCAGCATATCTTGAGGCTCCTTGGAGACCTTTCGCCATTTTTAGACTCTCTTGGAAACCTCTGGAGGCACTCTTGACAGCCTCTGTGGGCGCTTTTGGACCTCGCTTGACGCCGTGTGTTGGAACCCTCTCGGGCCACTTGAGGGCGCTCTTTGCCTATCTTGGCGTTCCCGAACCCTGGAGGAGGCCTCTTGAGCTGCCTTCGGACGACCTTGCAGGCATCTGGCGCCGTCTTCGAGCCATCTGAGGGCATCTTGGACTCCTCTACCTGCATTGTCTTCGTCGTCGCTGCCTACAGGGTCGGCGGCATCGGCCGTAAGGCCTTGGCAATAGGCTTCCAAGATAGCCTCATGATGGCCCAAGAAGCCTCCAAGACGGCCCCAAGAGGGCCCGAGACACCCCCAATGATAATGCCTCAAGAGGGCCCAGGAAACCTCCGAGACAACCCCAAAGCGCCCAAAGAGGGGACGGCCCTAAAGCACCCAAAGCAGGGACCCATGACTGCTCAGGGAGGGGCCAAGGCGTTCACTGAAGACCAAGAGGCCTCTTAGACGTCCCAGAAAGCCAAACTCATTCTATATCTGAGGTATATCTACGATTTTAGCGGTCTCGCCTATTCGAGCTGTGGCGATCCAAGGCGCGCCCATAGGCACCAAAGATCGCCCCAAGACCCCCAAGAGGTCTCCAAGAGGCTCGCAAGACGGCCCGAGAGGACCCCGAGACAGCCAGATAAGACGTCCCCAAGACGGCCCCCAAACAACCCCAAAGACCTCCAAGACGGCCCTAAAGCGGGCCCCAATACGGCCTCCGAGAGCCAAGATGAACACCAAGAGGCCCTAGGAGGTCCCCCAAAGGCCCTTTAGAGCCCCTCCTCAGGCTCCCAGGAAGTCTCGAGGAGGCCTCACGAGGCCACCTCTTCTTCCTCCTCATTCTCCTTCCTCCTCCTTCTCCTTTCTTTTCTTCTCCCCAACGTTCCCCCAAGGGGTTCCACACCGGCTGGGCGAACACATAGTCCAATAACGTTTCCAGACTTCGACCCGACGTTTGGCCGCATGAGTGTCTCCGAAAGGCAGGGGGCGGTGGTGATTCGCCGCAAGCATCTTAAACAGTTAGATTCGGGTATGAGTTAATTCGAGCCAGTCTGGGCGGGGATAGTTTCTTACGCAGGCCGAGATACTCTGCGATGAAGACGGACCTCGACCGGCCGACCGACCGACCGACGACGACCGTCTGCCGACCGACAGGGAAGCCTCCCCCTCGTAGGATCACAGCATTGGTCTGCATATCCACGGCTCCGTGGATCCCACTTCCTATGGATCCACGGTTTTACAAACAACTGCACACATATACATACAAATGTATACCTCAAACGCAAGAGCGGTATCCACGAAATCCCTACACCCTAAAACGCGGGATCCAGAATCGGTGCATGGGATCCACGAGGCTCCTGCACACACGCAATGAGATCCAGTGGGATCCATGGCTGTCCATGACAGAAGAAGAAATTCGGCTTGGGCATGAAGGAAACTGCGCCCATTCTGCCCTGCAGCGAGAAAACTGTACGGGCGTGAAAATCAAGGAGCCAGCGCTTTAGTTGCCTCTTTGTGATTTTGCACCATGACGCCTAAAATCAAAGATTTTGTGTCAGGTCCAGCCGCCTCTGCTCGCGCACGTCACCGATCGTTTCGAAACGGGGAACCAGCGAGCACGCCGCGTGTTGGCAGGGGCGACGCAGGTCAAAACTTCTACAAGCCAACTTACGCAAATCGACAGATTACCCTCTTGAGCCCCAGAAGACGGCGGCGACGGGCCGCCCGACCGACGACGACCGATCGACCGACGACGATCGCCCGACCCGCCGACCGACAGGACCCCCCCCGTTGAATCGTAGCATTGGTCTGCAGGTCCAGGGCCCCGTGGATCCCCAATCCTGTGGGCCAACACGAAATTACACTAAACATGGTTATATGGTCACTCTCGGGGGCGCGAAAACATGGATCGGGGGAGGTGCCCTCCCCAAAATGCGGCTGGTGCCGTCTCTTTCGGCGGCGGAAATCTGCGATTTCTCTTGGATGCGGGGCCCGTCGCTAATCCACGCCCACTTGATCCATATTTGCGATCGCCTGGTATCCCAGCGAAGGAATGGGATCCACGAAGCGACCACGCCGGGCTCTCGGGTGCGGCAACGTGCGCTCGTCGCTGTCCCCTCGACGAGGCAGGCGGGCACCGCCTGCGTGCGCCACGGCGCAGCGCAGCATCTCGTTGTACTGCATGATGCCGTGGGACAGGCAGGCCAGGGCCGCGGTAGCCGACGCGCCCCCACCAGGAGGGGCGTACGAGGTCTCACGGAGGGGTCCGATTACAAGTCACCCAAGTTCGCGCCCTCGCGCCCGTCTGGGCCGCGCCCCATCTCACAAGCAAAGAGACTCGGATACACGTGCTCTTAGAACTTCATGCCGCCCCGAGCGCCTGAGACCTGGCTCGGTCTCGGCTCGATGGGCAGTACTTGCAATCGTTCATCAGACCTTCCACTTTGAGCCTGGAGTATTGCTCCAGGGAGAGACATGAATGGAGGGGCGTTGGAAGCGAAGCCCTCTCAAATAGATGGTGCGTGCATCATCAGTCTTGCCAGGGTAGAAGAAATTGATGCCCGTGTCGGTCCCGACAGACCTTGAAATGGGGGCGGAATACCTACCACCGTTCTCGTGCTAGCAACGTGCTCAACGTGACAACTCTGTCTGGCCCGAACTACATGATTTGATAGTCGACTTCTCCACGCTGGCGAACCTCCTGACAACCAAATTTAGGTTCCCCACGGTGGTGATACCAACGCAAACAACACAATGACAAACGACGATGTTGCCAACAGAGTAAACATAACCACGCAGTGAAGTATCACAAATGGAAAACTAAAGTCGGATCCATCCGTGGTCAGGTCAGGGCCCCGAGGTAAAACAACCCGTTGTGATCCGTCCACGTTCCCGGCATCGGAGGATCCCACTTCAGCGAGCAAGCTCTTCTATGATACTTGTTCGTTCTCCCTGCACCGTATCAAGGCTCTCCCTCGGTGGACCAATTGGCATGCTTGCCGTTGCCGTTGATGCCAGCAAACGGCTTCTCGTGGAAGAGCACCATCAGACCGTACTTGGCGGCCACCCTGCAAATGGGCCAACGAGGAGGACGAGCACAAGGGAGCGGATGAAACTGATGAAAGGCCGATGAGAAAATTGACTAGGAAATTTACCAAAGGGGGCAACTTGGGGCACACGCTTTGGTAGTTCACATCGAGAGATGACTCCTCTGAAAGGAAAGGTAGCTTAATCTGAATAGAATGGCCCCCCTCCTCCTTGCTGGATGTGGCTGGCCACCTTGGCCCCTAGCTGGCTTTAGGAGGATGAAGAAGAAGAACGAAAGCGAGACGCAAGATCAAATGAATGGACAATGATGCATACGGGCGCAAGCTTCTGCACCCGGCTGCGTGCTGACATTCTAGACATGCTGCGTATCAAAAGACTACCATACAGCATTCTACAGTTGGTCGGACGGGTAGCCTGGCAATGGCTAAAAAGTTTGGCAATGGCTCCAACCATACAGTGTGTCGAGAAAACAATAATGAACGTGCCACATTGCTGGGCATAACACAACCATGTGGATCGGCGTCTGCTAGCATGCCGCAAAGACCTCGCCCTCTTCGAACAAAAAAATGACCCCAGCATCACGACGAGGTGGCCGGGTACGGCAGGCGCCGCAGCCCTAAAAACGCCTCCCCCTTGCCCTACCCCGCTCGATATCTGGTCGCGCTCGGCCATCGGCGTTTGAGGGGAGGTGCCAGTGTCCATCATGGCAGAGTCACTCTTGCGGCGAAAACCCACCGAGATGCTCTCTGGAGGAAAATGCAGTTAGGTACGAACGAGAAACTGTTTCTAGTGTAGACCCCGAATCTTGCATTCACGCAATCAGAGCGGTGCTATGTAAAGCAATGCACTACACAGCTAACCACTACAATACAACAATCAACATTGCACTGCTTTGCAACGCAATGCAGCTATCAATGCAACACAACATGTTCTGGCACAACCATGGCGAAACCTATGACGCAACCTGTGGCATCCATGGGCACAGTGGGCGCCAGCCATGACCCAACCTATGTCGGATGACCTTACTGCAATCGATGGAACCTGTAGCACAACAGATGGCACCCAAGAAATCCGGGGTGACCTGGTGGCAACCCATGGAGCCACATGTGGCGCAGCTTGACACCCCAAACACCCTCGAGGACCTGTACGTAGCCCATAGCGCAACCTTACATGGTGAAACCTACAGCGCCAAACAACTCTCATGTGCCCATACCGTGTCCTTTATAATGATAACGAAGTCCACCCTTAGAACAGCCGGTGACACGCCCTCCTGTTGCAGGTCTCCATGAAATACACGTTGTTGTCGGACGAGAAGTTGGCAACCTGAGAATCTGGGAACGGAGACTGAGCGGGAAAAGGGCGCAGGCTTTTCGCGAGACAACGACCTGAGCGAAAGGGGCCGACGTGGGGCGGCGGCTCAGACCAGGGATCCAACGAGCGCAGCGGCGACGGATGCTGATCTTGACGGCAATGCTGTTCGAAACGCCAGCGAAGGAACTGACGCGGGGCACTGATTCAAACCTGGGGCCCGACTGACGAGCACAACAACGACGGTGCTGACGGCCTTGGAGACAACGCCTGTCCGAAGCACCGTCCGGCATCGTCATCTTCGCCATCTTCGCCACCACTACCACAGTCGCTATCGTCATCGTCACCATCGTCACCTTCGCCGCCACAACCCACCGCAGCCCCGCCCTGGCAAGATCACGCCACCATCGCGCTGCTTCGCGGCTGGCTTCCCGCGTAGCTGACTTGTCAGGTTTAGGAGGGCGCTGTCCTGCCCCCTGGCCTCGGGTCGGCACGTCAGCGCCAAATATCACCCACGACTGACATATTCCTCAACTTCCGTGGGGGACATGGCTATGTCAATTCATCGATGGCCATGTCGACGGTGGCTATGCCATCCAGTACTCACCACCATCCACCAATCGCTGTGCCTGGGCGAGCTTATCTATTATAGGTTTCACGAGTACGCTGGTGGAAGCGGTCTCTCCCGTCCGGTGCCCTGCGAGGTGCTCCCTGAGCTCTTCAGGGTGCCCCCCAGGGTTCTGAATAATATCGGTTGATTGTCTTTGGCTTGCTCTCTCGATGGCTGCCTGCTGGAAATTATTATGTTAATATTGCCTTTGACTTTTCTGAAATTGCACTTGTCGTGCCGTGAGGTTTCATGAACACTACTTTGGTTTAGAATTTCTTGCCTAATCACCAGTGGCCGAGGCCAGCTTGGCCTGGTTTGGGGGGAGTTGGCCGCGGCAGATCCCATCTAGTTTAGAAGGAACTGGCAGTGCGGCTCCCTTCTCTGCTCGCAGACGGGCCTCCGCCTCCTCCTCCTCCTTGTGTCCTGTACTGCACGCAGAGGACGAACATGATGAAGAGGACAGGGCGCAGAGGGGGAGCCAGGAGCCAAGAAAAGAGCACCACCTCATCAGTACCTGCTCCAGGGTCGATGACCCGCGCCCACACCCTTCCTGAATGAGATGGGTCCCAGGGTTTCCCGCCCCCTACCCCACCCCATCTCACAGGTGGGATGCGAGGGGGGGATATGGTGGGTGGGGGGGGGACCTGGACCCTGGATCAGATATCATGCAATAGCATGCGCTAGCCTGTCTTCATGTCATTGTCTAGCCAATATGAAAGGCCCTTACCTTGACCTTGGCTCGTAGGTACATGTTGGCTCGTTCACCTGTCGCCCGTCGCTTTGTGGACTGCGGTGCGCCTTGCCTTGGGCCTCGTCTTACATTGCTCTTGGGTTGTCTTTAGTTTCCGCAATATGCCTTTGATTTGCTTTAATGTGCATTACCGTGCTTCCTAGGACGTTGAGGCGTGGCGGAATGCCACGTGCTGCCTGGTAGGGTTGTTGAGAGTCTTCGTCGGGACACCTCTTCGTCACACGCTTGTTACCCTCCTCCCCCCTCCCGAGGGTTCCTGGGCGGCTTGGCGCGTCCCCAGCTCCAAGGGTCTCCAAGGCTTCCAAGATGGCCCAAGAAACCCATTAAGGCCGCCAAGATGGCACACCACTGTCTCCTCATGAAGCACCTGACACCCCCGAACAACCCAAAGAGGCGGACAAGGGGTCCCAAAAAGAATGCCAAGATGCGCTCCGAGTAGGCCCACGTCAAAAACACAGTTCTAAGGTTCCAGCCTTCTCTCAGTGTGGTTACATGAGTGACCCAGAGAAGCGAAAGAGCGGCCGAAAGAGCCACATTAGATCCCAAAGAAGCCCGAGCCAGGACACCCACAAGAGGGCCTCGATCGGACCCGAAGACGGCCCAAGAGGGACCAGGACAGCCCAAGCGTGCCCCCTGAGGCTCCCAAGAGAGCCCCGAGTGGATCCCCAGACGGCCGACACAGGTCCAACTCGGCCCAAATATGGTTCAGCGGTGCTCGAAGCGCCTCCAGACTGAGCGCTGCACCGGCGGCGGCGGCGGCGTTGTCAACCAATTGTTTGGTTACACATCGCCTGCTTTCAATGAGATCTGGACTTGCACCTGCTCATCCTTCTGGCTGCCCTAAACATTCCATTCGTGCTGGCATGCTTTCAGCTTCGGTTCGAGCTCCACTTTTTTGTTGCTTCGCTGTGCACCCTCCACCAAGCCACACACACACACGAATCACACTCGAGGCCGTGCTCGGCTCACGGGTTAAAGCTTTCTTCCAATCAGAAGCCAGAGCGACCATGGCCATTGGCATCCCCCTGCGTTAGCGCGGCAAGTCTATACAGATCCACCGCCGCTGGCTAAGCCCGTCCTGGGCCCAGGAGCGGTGTATGTGATGCCTGGCCGAGCCAAGGGGCGTGTACACCGCTTCTGGGCCCAGGATGGGCCTGGCCAGCGGCGGTAAATATGTGTAGATCTCGTCGCTCCATGTATTCTGGACGTCTTCCGGGCAAGAAATTTCCCACACACGGACAATCAAGCCGGCCGTCGCGCAGCGAGGCGAGCGGAGAACATCACGGAACTCGCACGTCCTCGCTCGTGTGATCGGGGGCCTGGTCGGCAAGGGTGCTGCGGAATCCCCTCGGGGCTGTGAAGTCAAAAGGTAACCCGCCGTTTGGGCTCCACCGCCCCGCGGCCAGAACGGCGAGCATGGTTCGGGCGATTGGGGGCCTGGTCGGCACGGGGTGCTGCGGGATCCCCGCGTGGCTGTGACGTCAAAAGGTCCGCCACGGTGCCTGCTGGCGCGTTGAAGCGTGGTAGAATGCTAACGACTGCCTGCTCAACGTTATGTGCTCTGCAAATCGGAGTGTCCGCCTCCCGATCTTCCAAGGCGGTCCATGCAAGCAACGATTAAAACCAAAATGGCAGGTCGCAAAATATCGCCTCAAGACGGCCCAGGATGCTTCCCAAACTGCCCAAATCAGATCTTCCCCTAAAGCTCTGTAATGGTTTTTGCACTCTCGCATGGTCGGGCTTCCGTTAGCTCAGGACGGCCCAAAACACTTCCACGATGGCCCCAAGACGGACCAAGGGGACCCCGAAGAGCCGCAAGATGGCCCAAAAGGCCCCACGATGGCTCACAGGACATCCAAAACGGCCCCAAGACGGCCCAAGCGGGCCTCCCGTGGGACCCAAGACGCGGCCCTTCGACGCGGCCCTTCCACGGCGGCCTACAACGGCCCCCAGGCACCCACCATACGGCTAGGAAGGCCAACGGACTGACCAAGATAACCCAAAGACGGTGTAAGAAGACGCCAAGACGGCCCGAGGGCCCCAAAGTAGGAGCCAGGAGAAACACACAAAGGATATTCACACAAAGGGTTTCGGCACCACCACAGGTGCCTGGATCCCCGCCGATCCGAACCAGGGTTGATGCACGGCCGTGCTCTAGGATGCAGTTGACGTGTACGGCGTGGCAAGGCTGTCGGCGGCGACAAGATCCTAATATCCGCGACCAACAAACATTCCATGGTGGCTTGGCACGGCCAAACCACCGTGCAACGTCAGTTTGTTCATCCGTTGACAGCAGCACGCGTCGCGGCAGCAGAACGCAGTAGCGCGCGCGGGCATGCCGGGCCGGCGATGTGGCTGGTCAGCTGCCAGCGCGAATTCGGCAGAAGAGCCGAACTCCACGTAGGATCGTTTTGGGCGTGGTATCCGGCGCAGCTGCATCGCACTGCCAAGCGCCGCGGCCTTGTGATTGTAGCGCCAGGCCCCGTGCGCTCCTCGAGGCGGGAAAGCAAGCTCTACACAAAGGAACCGCGCGTGCTTTTGTGGGGGCGGCGAAAACGATCGTATACAAAAGAAATTCCTTTGTGTGCCCCCCGCGTTGGCAATGTAACCGGACCGTGCACAAAGGAAGTACGCGAGATTTTGTGGCACACAAAAGGAATTACAGCAACGCCCTTTGGGTTGCGCTCTTCGTGCGCGGTGACAGCTCCGAACTGGAAAGGAAGGGGGGGGCGGGACAAGGCAGAGCAGGGGAAGAGGAAAACGAAGAGGAGGGCGAGAAAGAAGCGAAGGAAGCGACGGAAGGAAGCCATGATGCGCGCAAGCGAAGCTAACGCTGCGCGCCGAGACAATTGTTCGTTCGTTCGGTTGGCCGTGCGGCAGATGAATAGGCAAATAATTGTTTGCTGCACATCGAAGGGACTTCTTGGGAATGAGACTCGCGCTCTCTTCCCAACCCCCTTTCCCACGCCCCGTTGCGTGCGCGCGACGATTTGTTCTGGCCCGCGGGCAGAGGACTGCCAATTGCTGGTGCGCGGCCTTTCCACCCGTCAACTGTTCCGAACAAATGCGACCAGCTAAACGCGCTTGCCACGTAAACCGCCAGCTCCAAACACCGACGCCACCCCGATCCCCGCATCCGTGCCAGGCACCCTCTCAACGACGCCCCATTCCAGCGTAGAACCAGTGTTTTTGTTCCTGTTCTGACAAAGGACACCAAAGACTACCTCACAGGAGGCCAGGGCGGCCCCAAGACGACCCGACCGAGTTCCATGAGAGCTCCTCAAATAGTGAAGGCGAAGGGTGCCACATGTGACGGCCTTCCTCTTCCTCCTCCTCATGCTCCTCCTCATCCCATGTCATCGCCACCACTATCATCACCATGATCACCACAACCATCACAACGACATCCACCAACAGCACCATCATGATCAACAGCATCCCCATAACCAGCATCACCAGCACATGCATCAAACGATGAACCATCACCACCCCCATCATCACCCAACATCATCGTCATCGCCATCACTACCAGCATCATCAACATAAGTAGCATCGTCACCATCACCACCATCATCATCACTTTATCATCGTCATCGCCATCACGGCCATCACCATCATCATCACCAGCACCATTACCACAACTAACAGCATCAGCATCAGCGTCAGCATCAACATCATCGTCATCATCATCAGCATCATCAGTATCAGCGCCAGCGCCATCGCCACGTTCACCATTTCCATCGCCACGATCACCACCAGCAACATCATCATCAGCAGCATCCGCATCAACATCAACATCAACATCATCGACGTCATCGCCATCGTCATCATCAACATCATCGTCACCGGTATCATCATCATTACCACCATCGTCATCGGCGTCATCGTAATCATCAACCGCAGCAGCAGCATCATCATCATCATCATCATCATCGGCATCGGCATCATTACCATTACCATCAGCATCAGCATCATCACCATCATCATCACCAGAACAACCATAATCAACAAGAGCATCATCATCATCATCGGCATCGGCATCGGCGTCGGCAGCATCAGCATCAGCATCAGCATCAGCATCAGCGTCAGCATCAGCATCATCCCCATCCTCCTCATCATGATCAGAATCTCATTATCTCCATGTTCTTCATCAACAGATCCAACATCAGCATCTGCATCATCACCAACAGCATCACCATCGCCGCCCCCACCATCATCTTCCCAACCAGCATCACCATCAATGTCACCAGCATCATCATCAACACCATCACCATCACCTTCATCATCATCAGCATCGGCATCCGCATTTTCATATTCATTTCCATCATCATTGTCCTCATCAACACCATCATCATCACCACCGTCACCATCATCATCTTCTCCACCACCACCACCACCATCACAATCACCATCACCAGCAGCATCATCATCAGCATCAACAACACTATCAGCATCAAGATCATCATCATCATCACCACCATCACCATCATCAACATCACCACCATCATCATCATAACCGCCATCATCTCCAACATCCTCATAACCCTCACTATCATCATCGCGGCTCTTCCAGACCTGGAGACACGATGCTTTTCACGTGACGGCCCCCCGTGCCCCCTCGAACAATCGCCACGGAATATGTTGGGCTGGCACGGTCGCAGGACTAGCCGCAGGCAGCTGGATAAGCTCGCTGCTTGGGCTCCACCGCCCAGCGGCCCGAACGGCGAGCACCGACCAGGCGCAGCCCCGCAGAAGCTCTGAGGTCAAATCACTTTTAGCCCCGTTGCCTGCTGGTCCTCGATCTCGGCCTCGTCCTCCTCGTCCTCCTCCCCCCTTCTTCCTCCCTCCTCCCCGTCCTCCTTCTACCTCGTCCTGTTCTCCCTCGCCCCCCCTTCCCCCTCAAGACCCACAGGCTGCAATAGGACGGGGGCGGGAGAATTCAGAACGCGGGAAATAGAGGGGGCGGGACGGGGCAGGCCGAGGACGGAGTGCTGGGAAATCGGGAACAAGGGGGGTGCTTGCACACGGGAAGAAGGCAGGGGAGGGGCAAGACGAGGCGCGATGGGGCTAAGGTAGTCGCCCCGAAGACCGGCGACATCTCATGCTGGCCCGGCGCCACCTCGTTGTGGCGGACCTCCCGGGAGACTGGGTGGGCAAGACCACCACTGAGACGAGGGCAAGATGCAAGGACATTGGACACACACACACACACACTTATCTATATCTATATATATATATATACAGATATGGATATAGATATAGGTATAGATATAGATGGCGACGACTAGCCGCCACCTCCGGATAACAATTGGGCCCTCCCCCCCTTCACGACCGAGAGTTGATTATCCCAGGCGAATACAGGTTTGGTCAGGGAAGAAAGGCTGCAAGGTCGAACTTTTTTTATCGCGGGGAAAAGTTGCAAATCGAAGTTGCTCTTCTTATGGTGAATAGCAAGGAATCTTAAAGCTTCCGATTGTTTTCCACTGGGATCCTATGGATGTCCTCGGGAATCCGATGGATTCGCAAGGGTGTCCCAAGGATTCCGAAGGATGTCCTAAGGACTCTTGAAGCGATCTTATGGAAATCATAGAGAGTCCTGCGCGTTTCCTGCGGATCGTATGGAGTTCCGAAAGAATTATATACAGTGCCTCAGGGAAAGCATAGGAATCCTTAAGACATCGATACGAATCCATCGGACATCCATATGATTCCTTCGGATATATCTAGATATACATACATACATACATACATACATACATATATATATATATATATATATATATATCGGAATGCTTGGGAAATCCATGAGTCCTGAGGAAATCCATAGGACTCAATTGGAAATCGATGAGGTCCCTTAGGAAATTCATAGGATCCCTTAGGACACAGATTGGACTCCTTGCGACATCCATCGGCTTCCTTCGGAAATCTATAGGAATCAAAAGGACATCCAGTGGATTAGTTGGGACTGCCATATGGGTCCTTAGGAACTCAATGGGTTCCGTGAACAAAAACCAATAGGATTCCGTTGTGAATACATCGGGTCCTTTAGGACATCCAGTGGATTCCTTCGGACATCCATGGGGCTCCTCTGAACATTCATAACATTCCTTCGGAATCCAGGATGGAATCCTTAAGCAATCCATCGGGTTCGTTCCTGACGAAATCAATCAGGTGCCTTGGGACATCCATAAGATTCATTAGGGAATCCTCCAGCTGTTTGAAGAATCCATGGGGTTCCTTAGGGGACCCATAAGATTCCAAAGGAAATCCATATGAATCCGTCGGACAACCTGGGGAATCCTTGGGAACTCAGTCGGAGTCCTTAGTAGATCGATCGGAGTCATGAACAAAAACAATGGGGCTCCTGAACAAAATCCATCAGATGTTTGATTCCTTAGGCCATCTATGATAATCCTTACGACGTCCATCGGATTCCTTAGGCAACCCATAAGAGTCCTTAGGCAGTCCATACGACTCCTGCGAACAAATCCGTCGAATTCCTTAAGGAATATATCGAATCCTTGTACAACTATAGGGCTCCTTAGGACATACGTAGGAGTCTGGAAGAAACCCATGAGTCCTTCGGAAAACGATTGGATTCGTTGGCAATCTATAGGAATCCTTCGAACATCCATAGGCATCCTTGGAACATCCATGACATTCCTGTGAACATCCGTGATATTCCATGGGGAACCCGTCGGATTCTTTAGGAACCCCAGAGGGTCCCTCAGGCAATCCTTGGGTGTCCTTTGGAACTTTATAGGGGTTCCTTCGGAAATTCGTGCGATTTTCAGCAAGCCGTATGATTTGTTAGGACATGCATCGGAATCCTTAGGCCATCAAACTTGATGGATTGCTTTGCAACCGTCAAAAAACGCATGTCAACTTCAGAATCCAGCAATTCACAGTTGAGGGTTAACATTAGTTTCCACGCGAATATCAATTTTTCTATTCTGGTACAACATTTGAAAACACGCATGTTCAGTTCAAAACCCAATCGGTCAGTATTAAGAATAGATTTTGCTTCCCAGGCAAACATGGTGACTTTCAACTGTGGTATTACAGATATCGCCACGCGCGCGCGCCAAAGCCCCGTGGCGCGAGTTTTGTATTGTCCATAACGGACAAATCTCAACGTTGGCCTGGAAACCAGATTGATGAACCCTTAACGGTGACCAACGGGATGTCGGGTGACATCTTGGGGCTCTGTTGGGGGCCTCTTCGGCGGTCTTGGGGCGGTCTCGGGGGCGTCGTCGGCCGTCGTGGAGCATCGGAAGGTCGAAAGCGCGAGACACTGACAAACATAGGAAGAACCACTGGAAATCAAGGATTTGGGCCTTTTCGGGCTCTCTCGGGACGCATTTCGGAACTCTCTTGAGGCTTCTTGGAGACCTCTTGGGCTGTGTGTTTGCGGTCTGGAGCCCATCTTGGGCCACGTTGGGGCTATCTGGGCTGTCTTGGAGGGGCTGGTCGAAGTCCCCCGGGGGCTTCCGGGAGCGTCTTGGAGCTCTCTGGGGCAGCCTGGGGGCTCCACAGCCCCACCGGGGTGCTCTAGGAGCGGTCTCCGAGGCCTCGGTCCCCTCATGCTCGCTCGGGGCCCGTACCCCGGGCGCCCGGGCCTCTTGCGCGGGGGCATATATATGTATATCTACATATATACATATATACACATATATATATATGTACAAATACGATTAGCATTGTTATTAGTATTCGTAGTATTGTTATTATTCGTGTTATTCTTATGATTAAAACTACGACCAATAATAATACTGCAGTGGCGCTTCGCACCACGCACTTTGGTTCTTCGAATTTCGCACGCGTGCGGCGTGCGTGCGTGTGAACATGCGCGTGCGAGCCTGTGCATGCATGTCATTCGCGCGCACGTGCATGTACGCCTTACGTGTGTGGGTAGATTGATGTATATGACATATATGCGTGTGTATATATATGTATATATATAGAGAGAGAAAGAGAGAGAGATAGAAAGAGAGAGAGAGAGAGAGAGAAAAGAGATAGAGAGAGAGATAGATGCATGCTTGCGCATACATATGTACCATGTCTACTTGGGCAGATCTACGTGTACACAAATGCATGTCTATATACATGTACGTGATCGTGGTAGCCACGGAGGGGGGGCCAGAAACGCAGTAAAGGGCTCGCGAGGGCCAAAAGACTTCGGCAGGAGACGGCATGGACGACAAGTCAAAATGTGGAACGGCGACCTGGGCTTACCAATGACCGTGTCTTTGTGACTACGGAAGGAACCGTGTGAAGAGCCGTGGGGGCCTCGGGACCGTGTCGCAGCGGGGCCCGATTATCTCGACGCTGAAGTTGTGTTGCGCCGCCGAACGCTCTTGGGAAGCCTCGCATTCAGAATGTTAACGTCACGTGGACCTTATTGGAACCTCTCGGAGCCTTTTGCGGGCCTCTGTGGGACGTGGTGCAGTCCCGTTTTGGCCTGGGTCCGTCTTTGGGCGCGTACTGGCTCTGTTGGGCTGTTTCGGGGTCATGTTCGGGCTGTTTTGTAGGGTCCTGGCAAGATATTTCGGGACTCTTGGGACCTCTTGGGGCTTCCTGAAGGCCTTTTGGGAGACTCCGAAGGCCCCTTGGGGCCTCTTGGGAACCTCCTGGGGCCTCCCTGGGCCCTGTCGGGACTGTCTAGGTGCCCATTTTAGCCAATTTGTGGCCCTTTTGAACCGGTTTGGGGCCCTCTTGGAAGTCTGCCGGGCCGTTTCAAGGCGATCTTGGGGGCCGCGTGGGCCGTTTTGGAGCGTCGGGAAGCCGGAAAGGGGAGAATTCAAGAATCCCCCATAAACCATCGGAAAATCAATACATGTTGCCTCGTGGGGCCATCGTGGGAGTGCTCTGGGATGCCTCTTGGGACGTTTTGGAGCGATCTCGAACTTCTGTGGGGTTCTTGCGGGATCCTTTGGGACTCTTGGGAGCCTCTTGGGGCTTCCTGGGGGCCTCTTGGAGGACCTCTTCGAGCCTCTTGGGAGCCTCCTGGGGCCTCCTGGGGCCCTTGTGGGCTCGTTTGGGGCTCTCTTTGAAGTCTGTCGGACCACTTTAGGACGATTTTGGAGGTTTCGTGGGCCGTCTTGGAGCGTCAGGATGCCGAAAAGAGGAGAACTCCCAAATCCCGTGCAAATCAATTGAAAATCAATGATATTTGCATCTTGGGGTCCTCTTGGGTGTGCTCTTGGAAGTCTCTTGAGATGTTTTGGAGCGATCTTTAAGGGTATGACGGCTTTTTCCCAACCATCCTGTGGTGTTGGGTCCTCGTTTTGATGAGACGGTCCCCGCGTTCCTCCTTCCCGCCCTCCTCCTCCTCCTCCTCCTCCTCCTCCTCCTCCTCCTCCCTCCTCTCACCAACTCACATTTTGGCCCACCCCTCACACGGTTCGTGGTCCCATAAGAAGCTCCACCAAAGGCCCCAGTGGCAAAGTTTGCATGCAGTTCCACCCCCATTCAGGCGCACCACTCACACGGTTCGTGGCCCCATAGGGAGCTCCACCGAAGGCCCCAATGGCACAGTTCGCCTGCAGTTCCACCCCCATGTCGGCGCACCCCTCACACGGTTCGTGGCCCCATAGGCAGCTCCACCGAAGGCCCCAATGGCACAGTTCGCATGCAGTTCCACCCCCATGCATTTCCACCCCCATGTCGGCGCACCCCACAAACGGTTCGTGGCCCCATAGGGAGCTCCACCGAGGACTGTACTTACCATTGCTTTACTCACACCTGCATATGATTGGGTCCTTCGGCAGGATAATTTGGGGTAGTCGCCGACAATCTTGGGGCTGTCTGGCGTCGTTTCGGGAGCGCGCCGGCATGTCGGGTGCCCCCTGGGGCCGTCAAATTCGTCAGGGGGGGGAGGGGTCCGGGGTCCCCAGCCGATAAAAACAAACGGGTGGGGGGGGTCCAGTCCCCCGTCCCGCCTGTGGACAGGGAGAATTGGGGGAAGAGGGGGGAGGGGTTCCAGTGGGGTGGGTTCCGACGGCGCGGGGGAGGGGAAGGGGAGGTTCCGTGGCGTGCGGGTTTGAAGGGGCCTCAGCTACAGCCTCGAGGCTGAGCTTCAGCCTCTAGGGAGGTTGCCAAGCTCTGCTGGGGAATGAGGAGAAGGGGGGGCGCGCGTGTGCGCGGGGTAATGTGTGTCCGTGTACGCGAGAAGGGAACCGGGGAAAGAGGGAGAGAGAAGTGGAACTGGACGAGAGCGGAAAACGGGGCTCAAATGGAGGGGAAGACGAAGGTGGCAGTGAATTGCGTGTCTGTTGTGGTGTGTGTGTGTGTTTGTGCGGTGTGCGTGGTGTGTGTGTGTGTGTGTGTGTGCGCGCTGCGGGCGTTTGCGTGTGCATGTGCCTACGAAGGTGGCGCGCTCGTGTGAGTGTGGTGTGTGTGTGTGTGTCGTGTGTGTGTGTGTGTGCGTGTGTGTGTGTGTGCGTGTGTGCGCGTAATGTCTGCAATGTTTGCGAGCGTTTGCGTGCGTGCCTGTCGGCGAAGTGTCGCCGCCCACTCTGGGGGGCACCTCAAGCGAACCGGATCGGCGGCACTGGCCGAAGGCCACTACAATCTTGGAAACGAACACACATGCATACATACATACATACATACATACATACATACATACATACATACATACATATATACATGTAGTTATCGATGTGTATATTCTAGAACAACTATATAGGGATGCCGATATTTCGACATATGCGTATATTCGCCTAGGTCTATTTTTCTCTCTCTCTCTCTCTCTCTTTCACTACATATACATGTATCCATGTGTAAGCTTAGACGTGTCTGTGTATACATAGATGTGTATATATATATATATAGAATCACACATCTGTAGACATGTATGACATCCGGCCCCACCCACCGACCTCTTCCCGTTGCGTTGTTTTCTCTACGTATCCGTCGACACGTGTTTTAGTAGACTTGGGATTGCGAATGATACTATGGCATTATGAATCAGAAAAGGGGGGCTGTGCACGACTGAGGAGATCGCGGGTAGGCAAGGACGGTTAGCAGGAGGAAGAGGGGAATGAGAAAGGAGGACGGGGATGACGAGCAGCAACAGCAGGGGTACGTTCGAGGACCGGTGGCGGGCCAACGAGGAAAATGGAGTGGGGAGACAACAATGATGAAGGGTTCGGGTCCAGAAAATTATCCTGGCGAAGGACCCGACCATATGCAGTTGTGGGTACCGCAATTGTGAAAATCTTCTTCGGTGGAACTCCCTACGGGGCCACGAAGCGCTGCACTGGGTGGGGGGGAGCGCTGTTCTCGGTGAGTGGTGTGTCAAGTCAAGTTTCCGGGACGCATGCGGGCGGTCCCACTGGGGGCTTCGGTGGAGCTCCCTATGGGGCCACGAAGCGCTGTACTGGGTAAGTGAAAATGCCAAATTGGGCTTCCGGGACGCATGCGGACGGTCCCACTGGAGGCTTCGGTGGAACTCCCTATGGGGCGACGAAACGCTGTACTGGGTGGGAATGCCAAATTGAACTTCCGGGGCGCATGCGGACGGTCCCATTGGGGGCTTCAACGCTGAATTGGGTGGGAAAAATAAAACGTTGGGTTTTCGGGACGCATGCGGACGGTGGCACTGGGGCCTTCAATGGAGTTCCCTACGGGACTGGGTGGGTGAAAATGCCACAATGAGTGTTTCGGGGCGCTTGCGGATGGTCCCACTGGGGCCTTCGGTGGAACCCCCTGTGGGGCCACGAAACGCTGCACTGGGTGGGTAAAAATGCCACATTGGGTGTGCGGGACGCATGCGGACGGTGGCACTGGGGCCTTCGGTGGAGCTCCCTGTGGGGCCACGAAACGCTGTAATGGGTGGATAATGCCAAATTGGGTGTTTGACGCACTCGGACGGTCCCACTGGGGCTTCGGTGGAGCTCCCTGTGGCCACGAAGCGCTGTACTGAGTGGAGGGGACGCATGTGGACGGTAGCACTGGGGCCTTCGGTGGGGCTCCCTATGGGGCCACGAAGCGCTGTACTGAGTGGGGGGGACGCATGTGGACGGTGGCACTGGGGCCTTCGGTGGAGCTCCCTATGGGGCCACGAAGCGCTGTACTGAGTGGGGGGGACGCATGTGGACGGTGGCACTGGGGCCTTCGGTGGAGCTCCCTATGGGGCCACGAAGCGCTGTACTGAGTGGGGGGGACGCATGTGGACGGTGGCACTGGGGCCTTCGGTGGAGCTCCCTATGGGGCCACGAAGCGCTGTACTGAGTGGGGGGACGCATGTGGACGGTGGCACTGGGGCCTTCGGTGGAGCTCCCTATGGGGCCACGAAACGCTGTACTGAGTGGGGGGACGCATGTGGACGGTGGCACTGGGGCCTTCGGTGGAGCTCCCTTCGCCCCTGGATGGGGCCACGAAGCGCTGTACTGAGTGGGAGGGACGCATGTGGACGGTGGCACTGGGGCCTTCGGTGGAGCTCCCTATGGGGCCACGAAGCGCTGTACTGAGTGGGGGGGGAACGCTTGTGGACGGTGGCACTGGGGCCTTCGGTGGAGCTCCCTATGGGGCCACGAAGCGCTGTACTGAGTGGGGGGGGACGCATGTGGACGGTGGCACTGGGGCCTTCGGTGGAGCTCCCTATGGGGCCACGAAGCGCTGCACTGAGTGGGGGGGACGCATGTGGACGGTGGCACTGGGGCCTTCGGTGGAGCTCCCTATGGGGCTACGAAACGCTGTACTGGGTGGGTGGAACGCAGGGAAGAAGGGGAGGAGGGAGGAGGGGGGAGGAGGGGGTGAGGAGAGGAGGAGAGGAGGAACGCGGGGACCGTCTCTTCAAAAGGAGGACCCAACACCACAGGATGGTTGGGAAAAAGTGGCCCACGCTGTGGCGAGAGCGCCATTCTGAACGGAGGGAACAAAACGCCGATCCAAAAATGAGGCCCACGCTGCAGCGGGAACACACTGTCAAAACACAACACCGAACACGCCCGGATTCAACCACGCAAGTTGCATATTATATGTTGGCAGTCCACTGTGAAACAAGCAATGCGAGGAGGGGGTTGTGCTGTTCTCAACACGTCCTAGGAGGGGGGAGGAGGGTAGTATTCAAATTGTGCTATAATCCAGGATGGCTCCATGGGGCCTTGGATGGCCCAAGGCGGCTCGATATGCTCTCCAACATGCTTCGAAGAGGCCCAAGAACACCCCAAAGTGGCTCAAACTGGCCACGACGCCCCTAAGGAGACCTCTGGGAGGTCTGAATCATGTGAACATGATTTCTTCAAGCAAAAGAAATTCAAGACGGCCCCAGGAGCGCCCAGGTCAGTTTTTCGGGCTCTGATGTCGGAGGCGCGCAAAGATGGATCGGGGGAGGTGATCCATGTTTGCGATCGCCTGGTGATGGAGCGGGGCTCATTGGGGACTCACCTCCTCCCCTCACTCCTCCCCTCCCTCTTCTCTCCTCCATCCTTCTCTTTCCCCCTCCCCCCCCTCCTGTTCATCCTCTGCGGGGTGCAAGAGGAAGGGGCAAGGACGAGGGAATGGGAAAGTTGGCGGGGAAGAGGAGCGAATGGAGGGAAAGAGTAGGAACAGGGGGTGGAGGAGGGGAAGGGCAGACTGGGGAAAGGGAAAGGGAGATGGGGAGAGGGGTAAGAGACAAGTTAGGTGCGCTCGCGTCAACATCTGACATCCTACCCCTCCCTCCCATCCCTTACCATGGCGCTGATTTTCTCTATCCGCGGACGCGTGTCGTAGCGGACCTGTGGCTCCGCGCGCGTGTGCGTAGTGGGTGGTGGTGCGCATGCGTGCGTGCGTGTGTGCGTGGTTGTGGTTGTTGTGGTGGTGGTGTGTATGTGTGTGTGTGTGCGTGTGTGCGCGTGTGCTGTGGTGTGACGTGGTGTGGCGTCTTGGTGGTTTGGTGGTGGGCCAGGTGCGTACGTGCGTGATGGCGGTGGTGGTGGTGGCGGTGGTGGTGTGTGTGTGTGTGTGTCTGTGTGTGGGTGCGTGTGTGTCTGTGTGCGTGTGTATGTGTGTGCGTGTGTGTGTGTGTGTGGTTGTGTGTGTGTGTGTGTGTGCGTGCGTGCGTGCGTGCGTGCGTGCGTGCGAGCGTGCGTGCGTGCGTGCGTGCGTGCGTGCGTGCGTGCGAGCGTGCGTGCGTGCGTGCGTGCGTGCGTGTGTGTCTGTATGTGCGCGCGTGTGATGTGGTGTGACGCGGTGTAGCGTGGTGGTGGTGGGTGGGGTAGTGCGGTGGTGGTGGCGGTGCGCGGTGGTGGTGCGCGTGCGTGCGTGCGTGCGTTGGTGGGTGGAAGTGGCGGTGGGTGTGCGTGCGGCGGGGCGGGGCGTGGTGCGGCGCGGTGGTGGCGGGCGGATGGGCGCGCGAGAAAGAGGCCCGCGCTGGGGCGAGAACGCCATCCTGAACGACGGAGGCCAAACACCGATCCGAAAATGAGGCCCACGCTGCAGCGGGAGCACGATTCGGAACGATTCGGGAGCAGAAATGAGGCCGGCGCCTCAGCGAGAGCAGCATTTTGAAAAAAACGCAGGCGAAAACCCAACTCCCGGGAATCCTGTGTGTAAAAAAGCAGTACGCGGGGGGGGGTCGAATATTCCCAGCACGCCATCAGGGGAAGAGGGAGAGTAGTATTCATGAAGAGTAATTGTGAAGGGGAGGGCGAGGAGAAGGCCACCGCCCCCTCGCGGGCGGGCAGGACCGCCATCGGGGTGCCCGCTTTCAGCATCTCCTGCTGTACCTCCACGAGCAGCTTGTCCACGCTCGACGGGACGGGGGCGAAATAGTTGAGGTCCATCTGCGAAGTGGGTGGCGTGCTTCTTTTTCGCCACCGGTCCGGCAGGAAGAGTCCGCCGGAAGAGGATGCGAGGAAGGCGGAAAAAAATTAAATTGGTGAAATGGGCGGCTACCTGCCGCATGGCGGGAGCCCCTCTCCCCAAGTGGCACGAAAAGGAACGGGTCCTGAAGGAAACACGGGATTTGCATCCTGGGGAACCAGCCTGTCATCCCGAACCGTCTGTTGACAGCCCAGGGGCCCACGGAGGGCTCGGCGAGGCCAAAAACGACGAAACACTTCAGGAGTCGGCTCCTGAAGGGGCCCTGGAACACACAAATAAATACACACAACTGACAGGATTCCCAATATTTCCGCATGGTTTCTGGGATTTTGTCCTCCCCCCACTTCCCACATTTTCCCGTATTTTCTGGGGAATCGACGATGAATTGTGTCTGTGTGTTTCTTTCCCTCCTGAGTTCCCTTAGGCCCCGTTCCCTGACATCTTGCGATGAGTCTGCTTCCATCCGCGCCCCCATAGGTCCACCACGCCGCTTCTCCAAGGGTATCTCTTCCGTCCTGGATCTGTTCTTGATGGCCCCCGGCCCCAACAGCGGGCCCCAGAATCCGAAGTTGGGGCAAGAACGTCCAAATTGAAAACAAACAACAACAAGTCCTCAGACTCCCCAATATTGTTCCAGTCCTGAAAGTAACCGACAGCGGGTGGAAGCATCGGGCAAGAGCACACCAGGAAAGTTGCCCAAAAGATGGGTTCGGTAGACTTTCTCGCCGCACCAAAATAATGGACAAAACATGTGCGCGACATTGGCAGGCGCGGAACTGCTTCGGACGGAATCTAAAATCATATACCTTTAACACTAGCAGCGGTTGTGTCGCGCGACTGCCACGCGGCGCGGGCGCCGCGGCGCCCGCCCCTGTCGCGCGCCCTCTCCAATAGACAACGATCGCGTGCCGATCGTCGGGGCTCTGCGGAAACGGCGCGCTACCGCGAAGGGCTGAATCTAGCGCTGCATTGACACCCCGCGCCACATCAAAGAAGCGAAGGCGTGCCATGGGCCGCCCAGGGCAGCCTGCGCCGCGGCGGTCGAAGAGACCCCCCCCAGCCAAAACAGCACCAGCAGTGGCCATCGACCACCGAAGAGTGGGCGGGCATCGACCGCCGCGCCGCAGTGGTCGAAGGCACCTCCATGCTCCAAGTGCGCCGGCGCGCCACCGCGGGGCTCGCCCCCCGCGGTCGGGCTGGCGCCCGAGTGCCAGGGGGCAAGCGTCGGGCGACGATTCGGCCACGGGCCAAGTCCCAGTCGCACCGGAGGAAACCCGAAGGGCAACGACCCCCGACCCATTCCAGAGCACAATATTTTAAGGCCTCTGGAGGCCCCGAAAATTAGCCTGTCGAAGGACCCAACCATATGCAGTTGTTCGTACGGCAATTGTGAATATCTTCTTCGGTGGCGCTCCCTATGGGGCCACGAGACGTGTGAGGGGTGTGCCGAAATGGGTGCGGGGGACGCATGTGGACGGTGGCGCTTGGGCCTTCGGTGGAGCACCCGATGGGGCCACGAAACATGTGAGAGGTGTGCGGACATAGGTGTGGGGAACGCAAGTGGACGGCGGCACTGGGGCCTTCGGTGGAATTCCCTATGGGGCCACAAAATGTGTGAGGGGTGTGCCGAAATGGGTCTGGGGGACGCATGTGGACGGCGGCACTGGGGCCTTCGGTGGAGCGCCCTATGGGGCCACAAAACGTTTGAGGGGTGTGCCGAAATGGGTGTGGGGGACGCATGTGGACGGTGGCACTGGGACCTTCGGTGGAGCTCCCTATGGGGCCACGAAACGCGTGAAGGGTGTGCCAAGGGGGACGCACGTGGACGGTGGCACTGGGGCCTTCGGTGGAGCTCCCTATTGGGCCACGAAACATGTGAGAGGTGTGCCGAAATGGGTGCGGGGGACGCATGTGGACGGTGGCACTGGGGCCTTCGGTGGAGCTCCCTATTGGGCCACGAAACGTGTGAGGGGTGTGCCGAAATGGGTGCAGGGGACGCATGTGGACGGTGGCACTGGGGCCTTCGGTGGAGGTCCCGATTGGGCCACGAAACGTGTGAGGGGTGTGCGGACATGGGTGTAGGGAACGCATGTGGACGGTGGCACTGGGGCCTTCAGTGGAGCTCCCTATTGGGCCACGAAGCGTGTGAGGGGTGTGCCGACATTGGTGTGGGGGACGCATGTGGACGGTGGCACAGGGGCCTTCGGTGGAGTTCCCTTGGGGCCACGAAGCGTGTGAAGGGTGTGCGGAAATGGGTGTGGGGGACGCATGTGGACGGTGGCACTGGGGCCTGTGGTGGAGCTCCCTATTGGGCCACGAAGCGTGTGACGGGTGTGCCGAAATAGGTGCGGGGGACGCACGCGGACGGTAGCACTGGGGCTTTCGGTGGAGCTCCCTATGGGCCACGAAACGTTGTACTGGGTGGGTGAAACGCAGGGAGAGGGAGGAGGAGAGGAGAGGCGGAGAGGAGAGGAGAACGCGGGGCGACGTCTGTTCAAAACGAAGACCCAGCACCACAGGATGGTTGGGAAATATCGGGCAAGCCCAAAGGATATGTGGCGCGTGGCACGCCCGGCATCGTCGTCCACCACCCTAACAATATCGTCCAGGCCCGAAATTAGCTTGGCGAAGGACCCAGCTATATACAGTTGTGAGTACCGCAATTTTGAATATTTTCTTCACTGGCGTTCCCTATGGGGCCACGAAGCGCTGTACTGGGTGGGAAAAACGCAAGGAGCAAGGGCTATGCTGGGTGGTGGCTGACGCATGCGTGCGGTGCCACTGGGACCTTCGGTGGAGCTCCCTTTGGGGCCACGAAACGCTGTACTGGGTGGGTGAAACGCAGGGAGCAAGGGCTGTGCTGGGTGGTGGCGGACGCATGCGGGCGGTGCCACTGAGACCTTCGGTGGAGTTCCCTATGGGGCCACGGAACGCTGCACTGGGTGGGTGAAACGAAGGGAGCAAGGGCTGTGCTGGGCGGTGGCGGACGCATGCGGGCGATGCCACTGGAACGCTGTACTGGGTGGGAAAAACGCAAGGAGCAAGGGCTGTGCTGGGTGGTGGCTGACGCATGCGTGCGGTGCCACTGGGACCTTCGGTGGAGCTCCCTTTGGGGCCACGAAACGCTGTACTGGGTGGGTGAAACGCAGGGAGCAAGGGCTGTGCTGGGCGGTGGCCGGCGCATGCGGGCGGTGCCAGTGGGACCTTCGGTGGAGCTCCCTATAGGGCCACGAACCGCTGTACTGAGTGGGTGAGACGCAGGGAGGAGGGGGAGGAGGGCCACGCAACGCTGTACTGGGTGGGGGGGACGCATGCGGACGGTAAACCTGGAACCTTCGGTGGAGCTCCCTATGGGGCCACGAAACGCTGTGCTGGGTGGGTGAAACGCAAGGAGGAGGGGGAGGGAAACGCTGTGGTGGGTGGGGGGACGCCTGCGGACTGTAGACCTGGAACCTTCGGTGGAGCTCCCTATGGGGCCACGAAGCGTTGTACTGGGTGGGTGAAACGCAGGGAGGAGGGGGAAGAACGCCACGAAACGCTGTACTGGGTGGGGGGACGCATGCGGACGGTAGACCTGGACCCTTCGGTGGAGCTCCCTATGGGGCCACGAAGCGCTGTACAGGGTGGGTGAAACGCAGGGAGGAGGGGGAGGGCCACGGAACGCTGTACTGGGTGGGGGGGACGCATGCGGACGGTAGACCTGGAACCTTCGGTGGAGCTCCCTATGTGGCCACAACACGCTGTACTGGGTGGGTGAAGCGCAGGGAAGAGGGGGAGGAGGAGGGAGGAGGGGGAGGAGGAGAGGAGAGGAGGAGAAGGAGAGGAGAACGCGGGGCGACGTCTCTTCAAAACGAGGACCCAACACCACAGTATGGTTGGGAAAAAATGCGCTTCGCCCGAACATTATCCTGGCGAAGGACCCAACCATATGCAGCTGTGGGTACCGCAATTGTGAAAATCTTCTTCGGTGAAACTCCCTATGGGGCCACGAAGCGCTGGACACTGGGTGGGGGGGAGCGCTGTTCTGGGTGAGTGGCGTGTCAAGGAAGGCTTCCGGGACGCATGCGGACGGTCCCACTGTGGGCTTCGGTGGAGCTCCCTATGGGGCCACGAAACGCTGTACTGGGTAAGTGAAAATGCCAAATTGGGCTTCTGGGACGCATGCGGACGGTCCCACTGGAGGCTTCGGTGGAGCTCCCTGTGGGGCCACGAAACGCTGTAATGGGTGGGTGAAAATGCCAAATTTGGCTTCCGGGGCGCACGCGGACGGTCCCATTGGGGGCTTCGGTGGAGCTCGCTAAGGGGCCACGAAACGCTGTATTGGGTTGGTACAAATGCCACGTTGGGTTTTCGGGACGCATGCGGACGGCGGCACTGGGGCCTTCGGTGGAGTTCCCTACGGGGCCACGAAGCGCTGGACACTGGGTGGGTGAAAATGCCACAATGTGTGTTTCGGGACGCTTGCGGACGGTCCCACTGGGGCCTTCGGTGGAGCTCCCTGTGGGGCCACGAAACGCTGCACTGGGTGAATGAAAATGCCACATTGGGTGTGCGGGACGCATACAGACGGTGGCACTGGGGCCTTCGATGGAGCTCCTCGTTGGGCCACGAAGCGGTGTAGTGGGTGGGTGAAAATGCCAAATTGGGTGTTTCAGGACGCACTCGGACGGTCCCACTGGGGGCTTCGGTGGAGCTCCCTATGTGGCCACGAAGCGCTGTACTGAGTGGGGGGGACGCATGTGGACAATAGCACTGTGACCTTCGGTGGGGCTCCCTATGGGGCCACGAAAAGCTGCACTGAGTGGGAGGGACGCATGTGGACGGTGGTACAGGGGCCTTCGGTGGAGCTCCCCATGGGGCCACGCAGCGCTGTACTGAGAAGGGGGGGCGCATGTGGACGGTGGCACTGGGGCCTTCGGTGGAGCTCCCTATGGGGCCACGAAGCGTTGTAATGAGTGGG